TAAAAGGGAGTTTTTCCTTCCCACTGTCGCCAAAGTGCTTGCTCATAGGGGGTCATATGATTGTTGGGTTTTTCTCTGTATCTACTGTACAATATACAGCACCTTGAGGCGACTTTTGTTGTGATTTGGCGCTATATAAATAAAATTGAATTGAATTAAATTGGAAGCAGGTTGAACAGGTCAAAATCAGGGTGGGAGCTGTCCTTGATGATATTTGTTGCTCTGCTGAGGCAGCGGGAGGTATAAATGTCCATCAGGAAGGGGAGAGAGCAGCCAATGATCTTCTGAGCTGCCTTAACTACTCTCTGAAGTCTCACCCCGCTCTCTTGGTGCAATGCCCGCACCATGCTGTGATGCAGTATGTCAGCAGGCTCTCAATGGACAAGCAGTAGAACGTCAGCTGCAGGTTGGGGTCCAGTTTGTGCTTCCTGGGGCCCCTCGGGAAGGACAGCTACTTCTTGACAACTGCTATGATGTTGTCAGCAGAGATGAGGATGTGGAGGAACTGGAAGTTGGCTAAGTCAGTGCTGTGCCTCCTGAAGTCAATGACAATCTTTTTGGTTTTCTTGGTGTTCAGTGCCAGGTTGTTCTCAGAACACCAAACTGCCAACTTCAGGACTTCCTCTCTGTAGGCTGCCTCATCTCGCTTTGAGATTAATTTTACTACTGTGGTGTCATCAGCAAACCTGATGATAAGGTTGTTGTTGTGGGTCCGACTGCAGTCATGGGTGTAGAGACAATACAGGAAGGGGCTCAACACATATCCCTGTGGGGATATGGTGCTCTGCATGCAAGTGGAGGAGAGATGGGGGCCAAGTCTTACAGTTATTTATCCAGGCACATGTGAGAGGGAGGGGGGCAAGAACGACCAGTTTGGTGATGAGGATATCCAGAAGGATTGCATTGACAGCTGAGCTGTAATCCATAAAGAGTATTTGAATGTAGCTTTGTCGCTGCTCCAGGTGGATCATCACAAAGTGGAGAACTGCAGCGATGGCGTCTTCTGTGGATCTGTTCGTGTGGTATGTGGTATCTCCCCATGTTTGCGTGGGTTCTTTCAAGGTAGTGGGGATAGGTTAATTCTTGCCGCCCTAAGACAGCTGGGATAGGCTCCAGCTGTCTCTTTATCTTTGTCATTGCACAGTCAGACATAGTACAATGAAATTAAAAAACAGTCAAGTCAAGTTTATTCATAGAGCACATTTAAAAACAACCAAGGCTGACCAAAGTGCTGTACAGTAAATACAGATAAAAATACAATAGAACACAATTTCGTAGTAACACCTCACTGATAAAAATAAAATAAAAATAAATAAAGCAAATAAATTAAACCTTTCTAAAAGCCAATGAAAGGAGGTGAGTTTTAAGAGCGGTTTTAAAAGTTTCTAGGCTTTTGGAGAGTCTGACGTGAGGAGGTAAGCTGTTCCACAGTCTGGGTGCAGCCACAGCAAACGCCCTCTCTCCCTTTGTCTTTAATTTATACCTGGGAACATCTAAAAGCATCAGGTCGGCTGACCTCAAAGATCTCCTGGGGCGATAAGTACTAAGGAGTTCTGACAGGTAAGAAGGTGCAGTGCCATTTAAAACCTTAAAAGCCAGCAGTAAGATTTTAAAATCAATCCTAAAGGCAACTGGGAGCCAGTGGAGAGAGCAGAGAACCGGAGTGATGTGGTCTCTTTTTTTTGAACCGGTCAACAGGCGAGCGGCAGCGTTCTGCACCAGTTGAAGGCGATGTAGACAGGAACGATCTAGGCCAGCATAGAGGGAATTGCAGTAGTCTAGCCGTGAAGTAATAAAAGCATGGACCACTCTTTCTAGATCGTTCCTGCAAAGGTAAGACTTGACTTTGGCTAAAATCCGCAAATGATAAAAAGATCCCTTAACTACAGAGCTGATTTGTTTATCAAGTTTAAAAGCATTGTCAAAAATAACACCAAGACTCTTAATGGAAGAAGTGCAATCGGAGGTTAGGGGTCCCAAAAAGTCAAGAGAGAAGTTGGGATCTTTAGGAAGCCCAAACACAATGACTTCAGTTTTGCTTTCATTAAGGTGTAAGAAGTTAAGAGTCATCCAAGTCTTAATGTCAGACAGCAGGAGAGTAGCGGCTGCAAAGAAACATTGCAGTTCAACCTCAGAGGGAGGTAGATCTGAATATCATCGGCAAAG